TGCAACAGACATACGGTATCTGAAGAAATCCAAAATCTGGTGAAAGTGAGGTTTGCCGAGATGCTTGCAGAGGTCGATATGCTGCAAAACAACAGGTGGGTTGCATGAATGCCTGAGTGCGATAATCACAGGAATGGCCTTTGCAAAGAGGAGGATAGAGGAAGTGTGATCCAGCTGATTCACTCAGATACTTCAAAGGCTTGCAGTGCTATTCACATGGTATCCATCTGGATAGGCTGTCTGGTTTGGGTGTGGATTCCTGTGGACCGCTTATAGCCATCCAGTACCATTGACCGTAATATACTTCTGCAATGGCTCTGTGGATTGAGTACTGGAGCTACAGTGTTGCAGTGGTTCTAGTCGTAATTGGATGGCTGACTCTTCCCGGAGGTAAGCTAGAAGTTACTACTCTGGCAGTTATGCTGTGGGGTGACCTATTTTGTCCCCCTACCCTTGAATATCTAGATGAAGCTGCTGGAGGAAGCTGCTCAGAGCTGTGGACTGACCACACCCAGTGCTAGCTCTCCTTTTCATCAACTCCAGGTGAGAGACAGTGGCTGTTCTGAATCAGTGCCTGGCTGGCCTAATGGAGTGGATGAGGGCCAATAAACTGAGGTTCAATCCAGGATAAAAGGTACTATTAGTGGGTGGTGCCTTTGCTTGGCTGAGTGGTATTCAGTCTGTTCTGGAAGGATCTGCACACTCCAAAATTAAGTTCTAAATTAAGTTAGAAAAGGTGTAGGCAGAAAGGGGGTCTTCAAATGTTTTGGACTTAAGCTCCCACAGTAGCTTTTTTAGGTGCCAGATTTGGAAATAGCTGGGTGCTCCGATATTCATGGCCTAGATGGAAATTAAGGAGAATATGTATCCACTGCAGACTCTTGCCACCTACAAGCATCTCCCTAGTAGTGTCTGGTATGAAATGCATGAAGTGGCCCCATCACCCTGCAAAGGGGCAGGGAAAATGAATTCTTTTTCTTGAGTGTGGTGTACCCAGAAAAGTGGTATGCGAACACAGCCACTGTAACCATGGATTCCATTTGTTTCACAAGCAGGAGGGAAGCACAAACAGAACCTATTTCTTTCTCCCCATTGCAAAAGGCTTTGCATGTTGGGGAAATGGCTTCCAATGCATACATAGGTAAGTCACACACTTCTTCAGATTGAGAGCCTTAAAAGACAGGACTGTGGATTTGGATTGTGCACTCTTTATGGGCATCCATGTGCAACTGCGATCACTGATTTGTACACATTACAGAGTGAATAAGTTTGGCAGTCAATAAACCAATATATTTCCCACTAAAAAGCTTCCATTATTTTTTATTGTTACAGCACCACCTTGAGAAAGATGATCAAGGATTCATAAATCTTTTTTCCCCCTTGTTTGCATTTACCTCATATATGATAGCATCTCCAGCTTTGCTTTAAAAGCTTCAACATTTAGTTGTTATTATGGGATTAAAGAATCAACATTATTATGGAATGTATTATTGCTGTAATAACTTTGTTTTCACACTTTGCTACTGGCACATGTTTAACAAGGTAGGTGTCTCCATTATTTCATATAATTATCATTATTGTACTCATGCTCCTAAGCCTTTGGTAATTACATTTCTTGAGGGGAAATGAGGCTGGACTTCATCGCAAGAGAAAAGAGACTTCAGGAAGTGTTATGAATCAGTATAAAGAGCCATTCATACAGAGCAGGTCATTGTGTTTTTCCTACTGATCCACAGATTCTGTGGCATACAACATTTTCAAGAAAAAAAAAGAGTTATTTCCCTGTGGGGATTCGTTCTGAGGAACTCTTTTTGATGTGGGTAAGAACTCTGCTCCCAAGGAATGCACTTTCTTACTCCTGCCTGACTTTTGGCAAACATGCCTGATGTCATTCATTAGATCTGTCAACAAATGAAGAACTGAAAGCCTTGGATTTTTGACACATGTTGCTGTGTGAGAGTCCAGACATGGCGACTGTAAAGTGAGCCAGGGAATTCCAGCACAAGTCTGAGAGCCACATACTTCCCTGATACATGTGGGTGCAATCTCCGCCATGTGGGCTTCGGGACCAATGCAGGATGTATACCTGGGGGAAGTGTATTTTAAGGTACTGAAATTAATTATATTCTGTATCAAGACATTTAATTTTCACCTATCTTAGGCTGCAGTCATGCTGTTCTGGATACTAGCCTTTCACACACACACACACACACCCCCCTACACATTGTCAGCCAGCCAAACTTTTTATTGCTCAAGGCCTATGCAAAAATTCAAGCACACACAATAAAACAAATCACATTTTCAAATACAGTTACTAGAAGTACTATAGCTATAAAACACTGTGAATAAAAATAAGCATGAAGAATCAAATAAACAGTAAAACAAACATTAAAATAAAGTAATAAATTGTCATCAAATCAAAACATCACTACCACAACTCAAAACAATTGAACATTACCAACAATTCAAAATTTGTCATAACATTTTTGCACTAATGCTTGGTGTAGCCAGTGAAAAATGGGTACTCTCTAAGTTACAAAAGAGTCGACATTTTACAATAAATAACCTATGTTTTCTGGGACAGGTTTTGACTGGTTCTCCAACCTTCACTGTGACCTCCATGTGAGGATAGTGCTTCCGGTTTTTAACATGCGTATTTCTTATATTAAAAATAAGCAGGTGCCTCTTACACAATTGTGTTCTAAGTTGTATCCATTTTTAATAAATACATATATTTTGTTTGATCAAAACACCCTAAGTATTTCTGCTTTCTGACTTACAGCAACATGGAAGTCAGCACAAGAGATCTCAACATTTGTGCAGGTAGCGATGTTCTGATTTTAACACAACAGCATGCAAATGATTCCATCCATTTTCCTAGGTACACCTATTATGGAGAACACACATGCCAAACAGATCCGGCTAACAGGACGTGACATTACATACTCCAGAACTTTCAGGGTTTTGGAACAGAAGCAGCTCCACATTTTTCAAAACGGTAACTTCCTCTACTTATGTTCAGAAGAGTATTTGGCTATGACTATGGGGAGATCATTTTTTTTCCTCCCTGAACACAAACAAACTCAGAATACAACAGCTTCTGCAATGCAGATACCAGACTTTATTCAGTACTGTGATATCATGGCTTTGGAGTCCAGCTTTGAGGTGGTAACATTTTTACGGTGCAGATCAGCTGCCTGGAGGAGCATCCCTTTCTTGAGGTGGGGAGAAACAATGGCCCTTTGCCACATGGCTCAGACACATTATCCTTTGTACCACTGGAGCAGCTCTCAGGCAGGGAGAAGTTGTGGTTTGATTCCTGCTGCTCTGCAGCAACATTAGTATAATGGCCTGAAAGGTGCATTACGGCTTATCTGCTCAGGAAGACCTGGTGATTTGAGGTGTGTTACTTGTGGCATACTCGAATCCAACCTGCCACCTCCTTTCCTGGGATCTGCTGGCTCATTAGGAAAAAGGTTCCATTTGCACAAATGGGATCTTTTCTCCAATGCCTAATTACTGCACCAGGGGGAATTTTCACAGGGATGGCAAAAAATGGGACCTCCTTTAAAATATAATTGTTGTGTGGGAGGATTTTCTGGGAAAAGTCACTGAAGACAGACAGAAGTGTTCCTTGAGTTACACCCACTGAAATCTGTGTTTATTTCAATGGGTACATTCTAAGTGTGATTAAATTTATATCCAATGAAAAGCATCAGGCACAAAGTATTTAAAACAAGAGCAAAACAATCAAGGGTGTTGCACGATCACAGCTCCCATTTTACCTACCCTTGGAATGTGCTAACTGAAGCTGACAGAGGTTAAAGTTGAACAGTACCTGGGGGCCCCAGAGGTTACCCACACTTGCCTTAAAGGCCACACGACTCACATCACTGGAATCCTGCATATTTCAGGACTACAAATGATTGTGTGCAGTGCTCTACACCGGGGTCAGCAATTAGGTCTGGATCTACTGAGTGATCTTTCAGCTGTGTATAATAGATTGGAAAAGATGTCAGAGTTTCTATTGTTTAAAAATAACAGCAATGAGATGAGCCCCACACCCTGCCCAAAAATATACCAGTGAAATGAAGACATCTTGGATAACCAGGAGCGGTGCTTTGTGAAAATATTGTGAGTGGTTTAGTCCTGGTAGTCAAAACAAGGTGGGTTCCAAATTCTTTAATTTTGGCTGGTGCATCTAAAGCAGCCTTCCTAACATGTTGAACTGCAATGCCCATCACTCTGTGACAATGCTGACTTGGCATGATGGGTGCTGAGCCAATTCAGGAGACATCAGGCTGTGGACAGTTAACCAAGCCAAAAGTAGATCCTGCAAGCTTGAGGCCTGCCTCTCCCAACTCTAAGCATTTGAAGCATACCAACCCGCAAACCCTTAACACGAGCTAAGGCAACTAAAGAATATGCCTTTTTAAAATATGGATGATTGATTTTTTTCCAGGTTATACACATGTTTATATTATACAGAGCTGTTTGCTATTGCTGCCGTTGGGTCTTCACAATGCATGACGACGTGCAGCAGTGTTTGAAACATACTTACTTAGAGGGAACTTCTGGTGTGTTTTAACTCGGTTTACAGCAAACATTTCCCTTGGGCCTCGCTGGCTCCCTCCAAGGGTCCATCTAGTCCGGGATGCCGTTCACAGTGGGGTCCCACAAGCAGGGAAGAACAGGGAAGAACACCACAGCCTTCCCACCCCTGTTCCCAGCACCAAGTGGACCCAGACGTAGACAACACCTCTTCTGAAGGAGGCAAACACCCGCGAGGAGAAGCCATTCACCCCATTCTCTTCCAGGAGCGGCGCTGCTTTGCTCTCCGGAACGGGACAGCGGAGTCCGCTGCGCGCCTGCGCCAGTCCCGGCCTCCGACCCGCCTCGCCTCGCCACACCTGAGAGGAGGCGGAGCGAAGATCCGGAGGCGGGGCGCGTTCTGACGCCTGCGCGCGATGACGCCAGGGAAGGAGCAGTGGCCGGGGAAGGGAGGGGGCGCATGCGCACAAGACGTGGCAGCCTGCGTAGGGAGTGAGCCGCTGCCTCTGTTGGTCGGGCCTCCTCTTGGTCGTCGGGATGGACGAGGACATTTTGACCACTCTGAAGATCCTCATCATCGGCGAGAGCGGCGTCGGCAAGTCTAGGTAGGGGCCTGCCCTCCGTGGTCGGGGCTTGTCATGGCCGCGTCGGCCCCCTTGCTATCTGGCCTCTCTCGCCCCACCCCGGTTAGGCCCTGACCGGTGGGCTCTTCGGCCTGGAAGGGGTTTCGCAACCCTTCTTCCCACTTCCTTGCGGAGTAGGAGGGGGGTGGTGCGGTGACTGGGCAGCTCTCCCTCCCAGAAACTTGCAACATCATACTTTCCATATTTATTGGAAAGTAAGGTTTACTGCCTCTGCGGTGGATCGAGGCCTTAATCCTGGAAGGGGCGGTTGTTTGGGGCGGTGAAGAAGAGAGGCACCGGGGCTCAGGCTTCTCTGAGAGCCACGCCCCCTGACTTCGGAATCTCTCCTCGAAACGGTTTCTACATTCTGGGAGGGCGGTTCGGTGGGTAAATTTGAAGTCTTGTCTTCGTATTAGCAGGAAGGGAGTAGCGGCCTTTGCACATGCTCAGAGGTGCATTCTCGTTGCGTAGCTTGACATGATAATGGAAGCTAGTTCTGGGCCTGGGCCTGAGCCTTGATTCGAATTCGGGCCTGGTTCAGAAAAGGAACAATTTTCGCTCCTCTTTGTAATGTTTCCTTGAGGGATATGGGTCACTGTTAGATTTGCCTGTATAGGTATTGGGCGACTTACCTATGGCCACATGTTAAATTTATGGTAGAGGTGATTCTTGGATCCTGGTGTTGCTTGATCCAGGCCTAGCAGTCTTGTGCTCTCTCCCCTATTTTCTTAGCTCCTACCATAGTAATTTCCCAGTCTAGTGTACTATGAAAAGTAAATTACTGTAATTATTCATTCTAAAGCACTTCTTCTGTCTTACTTGTCTACTGTTTATGCATGAAAATGGCCAAGAGTCTTGTGGAACTGAAAAGACAACTGTTCACCATAAGTGTTGATGAGTTAAAGTCCTCTTCATGAAATGTAAGGAGTGTCACTGAAGCTTCCAGGTTTTATATGGTACATATGGTAGGCGGGTGGGCGAACTGTAAACAATGAGGTCAGAAGGAAATTAAATATAGACATGCCAAAATGATCTTGTTAGTGTGCAAGGCTCTTTGTTCCTGCTACAAGAGATTTAAGGTAGATGCCCTCTGAAATTGTTCATATATGGTCTCCTTCTCACTTCTTGCTCACAGTAACCTTTGCCTTGTCCACAGGGTGCATCATACATTACCAACTAGATGCCACATAATTCCCTTGATATCACTGAAGAAATTTGGTGATGAAGTAATTTCCTTAGAGGAATGAGATAATGTGCCTAGCCTTTCTACTGTACGTTGTAAACTGTATTCATTCTCCACAATATAAATTCATGTACTATCTGGACACACTCTAGGATGCTAAGTAAATATATATGGTAAAGAAAAGCAATGGAAAGTAATTCTATGTTTTAAAGATGTATTTATTATATGAAAGAGCACTTCCATAACCATTTTATCTGACTTGCACATCTTAGGTGACTTGTCATGTTTAGGACTCTGTCTTGTGTCAAGACAGAGTCCAAAAATAATGCTTTGTATAACCGTCTGCAAGCATGCTTGTATATGCTACTTCAGTGTTTTGAAGCATACAGGGACATATTCAGGGACCCATCTGTGAGTTCAGAAAACAACTCTGACCTTGTTTGGAGTACCCTTTCCCCCTTGAAGCTAGCACAGGAAGAACTATGCCAGCTGCTTCTCTGACATTGTAAGAGTGACTACAGATAAGGGCTTGGGGCCTATTCCATGGGGAGGAGAGGAGACAAATGGCATCAAGATACAAATATGTTTTGGCGGTGCCTGAACCTACTTTCCTCCAGCTCTAAAGTGCTCAACTTAGGCTGCCAGAATTGGTTACCTGTCTGCATTGTAGAGTGGGATAAACACCGAGGTGACCTTCCCTTCCATACTTTTCTAGCCCTACACTGGATGCCAGTGATCCTCCATATTCATAGGATTATGGGCTGCCTCATTGGATTGTGCCCTAAATCCAGTAATCTGAATGTACAAAATTGGAGAGGAGGAAAAGTTTGCAAATGGTAGAGTGGCAAAGCATGTATCCACATACTTGTGGCCTGTCCCCTCCTGTCCCCTGACTGAAGCTGTAAGATGAAGCTGTAAGATGTTGCAGGCACTCAGTGCTGGCAGGCATGGTGACTCTGTAATTTTTTCTTGATTAGGTCATCCCCCACTCTATGCTTTCAGAATCTTCACATTTTTATAAGTGACTGCTTGTTTGTAATTATATATTTATTAGTGATATTTATATACCCCTTCTCATTGGAAAAAAATTCTGAAGCAAGTAAAGAAAACACACAGGCACAGTGTATTTGTTCTTAGATACCAAAAATAAGTCAAGCCACTGTAGTCAAGCAAGTTGAGGCTGTTTTAACCTTATGGCCAAGATATGTTCACAGACCATTGGTTCCAGTTGGACTTAAGGTGTGAGACTGACAGATGGAAGGAAAGTGGAAAAGCAAGAGGGGTGCACTTTATGTAGGCAGTCTGCTCCAGGCAGCAGTTGGATTATGAGAGTCTGGTGTCCAGAAGATCTGGAGTACTCCAGACCGTCTACTTCAATTTGCCATTTATACACAAAAGAATATATTTAAAGCACTTTCCCTATGTTGCTTCAGTAATGCCTACAGCACTCCTATGAAGGTGGCAGGTATTTGTCTCCTATCTGTAGTATTGGGAGGCTGAGAATGTACAGATTGCTTCAGGCCACCTATTAGTTTAGTAGTTTGGGTTTCAAAGAGGGATTTCCTGGTTCATTTTTAGTCACTGTATTACACAGTGCCTACACATGGTGTTGATGTGTGTTAGTTTAATATTCTAGCTCTATGCATTATTTAAGTTATATTTTTAGAATGGTTGCCACCTAGCTTGAATTTATCTGTGTGTATCAGAAATTCAATAAATGTGTTGATTATGTCTGAGCTAAAGACAACAACTTAGATTACAGGATCTGTGCACTGACAACCTATTAGTGAGGACACTCATGTGCCTCTCACTTTGCTTAGTTTCATGGCTTGAGACGTACAAATTCATTCAATAGTGGAATCTGTGTGGCAAGTGCCTATCAGTAAACTTGAAATCGAAACAATGTTTGTTGCACTTGTTTTGTATTCATTACTAATCTTACATATTAGTAAATATTGAGCTAAATTGGATTGATCTGACTATTGCAGAGCAACTATACCTTACATAAAAAGGTAAAAAATAATAGTACTAAAATTTATTTGCTTTTATGTAATAAACTTAAGTTTGGGATCATTTAGAATATTTGATCTTTCTCTAATCCAGTAATATGGATTTATCTTGCTACCTGTGTACTTTGGCTTTTAATCCTCTGTCTTAGTTACCAGATTTGCCCAATTGCCTTGGCTTATGGTGTATTTTCTAAGCTACAATGAACCACAGTGCCCATGGGCACCATTCTGAATGTTCAAGTCATGACTTGTCATGTTGTCTGAATCCAGGGACCATTGATTATGCAACCCTTACATAACCAGTGGTCCCTGATTTTGGACAACAAGGCAAACTACAACTGGAATATTCAAAATGGGTACTGACATATAGCATAGCACAAACCTGTGCAAACCTAAGGCATTCATATTTCTTACTCTGCTTAGTTTCATCATTTTATTTTTAAAGATGAGTGAGATGAAGTTTACAAACTTTTTAGAATTCCTAGTCCATTATTTTGCCTTCAAAGCTTTAAGTAGTCTTTAAGTAGTCTATTAAATAGTCTATTTTGCCTTCAGAGCTTTAAGTAGTCTTGCTTAACTTCATATGAAACACATCTCATATTATCTTTACTTGAGAAATAAGTGCACAAGTTCAGGGAAATGAGTGCTATGATACTTGGACAATACCCAAGGGCACAGTACATTCTACTGTGGGGAAGATTAGTCAATACTGAAAGACAATCTTTTCTGGAGCAGGATTAGATTGCCCCAAAACAATGTCTAATAGAGAAGAGATTGAGTTTCTGCTATAACCTTGTACCTTGGCAAAAGTGAAATCTGGAACACATGAGATCAAGATAGCTATATTTTGGGAAGAACTCATTGCTTACTCATTTTCCCCTTCTGCTCCCATCCCTCTTTGTACAGCCTTCTGTTACGCTTTACAGATGATACATTTGATCCAGAACTTGCAGCAACAATAGGTAAGTTTGCACTGCTTGTACTGCTCTGATCAAAAACAGAATTTCTATCTGACCTTACCCTTCTGGTAGACACAAGTGGGATCATTGCACTGGAGAAAGTTTATTCTAATTCAAGTTAACTTGCAGTACTGGCACAAAAGTCAAAGGCAAGACACATACTAAAAGGGAAAGTATAAAGAATTGAAGTGCTATAAAAAGAAGCATAAGGAAACTGACGGTAGAATTTTTCCTCTATTTGCCAGTTTTCCACCTCCGTCTCAATTTGTCAAAAAGCAAGGTTCTACTAATGCAAATAAAACAACTTTCAATATACAGATTGCTTGAAATACTTAGGCATAGGGTTGGATGCAGATGTAGTCATACTTATAGACCTATCAGTGGGAAGTTACTAAGTTAAATTATGACTAGTGTCTGCATCCAATTCATAATGCTATCAATTGGTTTTTAATTTTCTTGCTTCTGAAGAAAGGGGCAAACATTTAATAATAAATTCAGGTTATTTGTATCAGCTGTACTTCCTTGATCTGTCAAAATCAGCTACATGTGCTTTAGAATTCAAATCGGGTAAAATATATTTACATACCTAGCATAGCTGAGCATTTATAAAATACGTTCCATGGGGAGAACCCTGCTTAGTCTGGAAATACACAAATCTTAAATAGCACCAGCATTATCAGCTGCTTGAACTTTAATAGTGCAGTCATAATATGAGTATTTGTGAAAAAAGCTATATTGGCATCACCTTATCGAATCTGCATAACAGGGTGATCTCTCATTGAATTGTCCCAGCTCCTGCCAACCTTGTAGTTCGAAAGCATACAAATGCAAGTAGATAAAAAGGTACCACTTTGGTGGGAAGGTAAACAGCATTCCGTGCGCTTCGGTGTTTAGTCGTACTGGCCACATGACCACGGAAATTGTCTATGGACAAATGCTGGCTCCCTCAGCTAGGAAATGGAGATGAGCACCACCCCCTAAAGTCAGACATGACTGGACTTTAATGTCATGGGGAAACCTTATAGAAGTGTTGCCTGCATTTTTGCTGATATATTAAGACAACAGTGTGTAAAAGTTTTGTAATGTCATAGTTATATAGTTTCTTGAAGATAGGTGGGCTTTAATATCTGATGTTTCCTTTTTCATGCTGGTAGGTAACAAGTTATTAGTATGGCACTCAGTAAGCGAAACACTTGAGCAGACCACTTCATTCATCCTTATTCATGACAGTCCAGTGGAATAAGAACCAAATGGATAAAGGTTGCTATCTTAACCTCTCACAAAGAGGGTTTTTTTAGTGTTTCCCTCTGTGTGCAATGTGAATGAATCCATGGATGTGTTTTCCTATGTGATTTCTTAGTTTCAAGGCACTACCTAATTTTGTGGAAGAACTGTGACTTTGAGTCTTCCTTTGAGCACTTGAACATAGTGAATATCTGCCACTGGTGTAACTTGCTGTTAGATCAGTTTACAAAGCATGTAATCCTTTTACCAGCACTGGTTATGCATAATTACTTGGAAATATATATCACCAAATTCAGTCAAGCTTACTCAGAAGTAAATGTGCACAGAATTGCAGCCTTAGTGGATACAAAATGGAATGACATGAAAGCTGGTCCTAAGACAAATGAGGATGATTCCACGCTTCCCACTGAAATGGGATTAATGCAGCACATGATATATTGTCATCTGAAAGAGAAAGTTTATAAACAATCTAAAAATAAGAGATACCTTTATGTAGTAGCTACTCCATGCTTGGAATTAACAGTTTCAAAAGGTACTTATCAGGAAGTATTACACTTCTTTATCTTCCCTCTGTTAAAAGTTCAGCATTTTTTAAGGTAACATCCCTCCAGAAGCAATACAGTGGTTGCTGTTTTTGTGTTCACATGCATATTATTCATACATATCTAGGACAGTGCAAATGTCATGACTATATTTAGCACACTGGTTTGGTTTGGGAGAAGATGTGGAGCGCTTTTGAATTGTAAAGTGTGTGTGGTTCAGCTGTGCCAAAGTTGCATAGATCAAAGGAGGAAGCAGGGCCACACATGTAAACCTCTCACTAGTATGGATCTGGGAGGAAGAGAAGCCTTAAGAAGAAAAGAAGCCTGACAAAATTCCATCATAGTCGCTCAGCAGGAGGGGCTGACAGATGCCCCACAACAGGTTTTGATGAGGAAGCATGGCAGGGCCACATACAGTCAAGCTGCGTGAAAGCTAAGGTGGTGCAGAGAAGAGCCAAATTTGGTGACTCCCATTTACCTTAAGAACCGGTTCTTTAACAGTGAGTATCTGTGGGCAGAAAGGCTCTCTAAAGACACAGTCTTAGGCAAGTTTAGACAGATGCCCCAGCCAACTAAGTTCTAGGCCTTTTTTCTGCCTCAGTCTGTACAGGAATGCACCCTTGGTACATCTTTGCTTTCCCTAAATAGTTTCTAGGGATGCAGGACCTTTTCTTTCTTACTTGACTTTCTCAGCTTTAAATGCCAGTGTTTATATGATATTGGTCTTGGCTACCCAGCTTCCTTTAGCTGAGAACTTTGGGGCCGAGGGGGGCGAGCTGCACAGCCACAGCTTTGTTTCTCTGCGTGTGTATGTGACTCTCCGCCCATTCATCCATCTGCTGTCACAGAGATAGCAATATGAACCAGGATCCATTCGTCAGATTTCTGCTGCCTTTGTCTTGTGTCTGAATTCTGCTTGCAAGGCTGTGCAGAGATGGCAAAGCTATTTTAAGAGCCACCATAGGATCATTCTTCTTACAAAATGAATTTGCTACATGGAGGTCGCATACATACTGGAAGCTGCATGAATCCAGCATGCATTTAATCATATATATTCATTACCCTACTGGTGTCTTCCATGTGACAAAGTACACGGCCCCAGTCAGGTTTCCTATCTGAAATTGATTGTAGAAATTATAATCCTGTGTGAAATGTGTCCTTTGGTTCTGGATCTCTTTGTAGCGGCTTGCCTTTAGCATTGACTTTGTCCTGTATCAGTGTGCTCTTAATTTAAATTTAATGGCAGAGTCAGTAGTTAAAATATCTTTCCATATTCTGTAGTTTCATAGCTCATCTGAATGCGTGCAATGCTGTGATAGGTTGAATAAGTGCAGTCCTCTAGATAGAGCCTGTTTTCAAAATTAGTATGTAACTTGCCCTTATTTTGTTTTGTGTCCCCCCCCCCCCCCCACCCACTTGGCTGGGTTCTGTTCTGTTGCTCCAAAGTTCATGTTGTGTCTGAGGCAGCACTAACTGCTCTTTGTCTTTTAGGTGTTGACTTCAAAGTGAAAACAATCTCAGTTGATGGAAATAAGGCTAAGCTAGCAATCTGGGTAAGTCCTAGCAACAAAATAAAGGCAGTGCTGGCAAGTGACAATGTATGTTTGTATTGGGTAAGTGAGATTTCAGCAGGCTGGGGATGAATAAGAATGACTCTCTTGCTCTTGTGGGGGCTGAGCTGAAAATGTAGATGTTTAAAACTTTTGCTGTCTTCCTACTTCCCAGTTTGACCAAAGCTTTAAAGGTGATAGCTTTAAATGGTGTGAACAATTAAAAATGTTGTACTTCAAGATTCTTAGGCTACAGTCCTATGCATACTTAAACAGAACAGTCCTACAATTCCTATCATTCCCATACTGATTGGTGAATGCTGGGGCTTGCAGGACTTTTTTCTGCTTAAACCAGCATATGATTTAGTGTGTACTTTTTGGTTTTCACCCTTTATATAGTAATGGATAAGGGAAAGGATACTGATATCCAGGAACTGTAGCACTTTGTTCCAAGCCTGCAGTAGAAAGACTTCATAGATGACCGGCTTTGAATTGAAACATCTTTGGGATTGCCTGGTGTTCATGTTTTTCACTTAATAAAAACCTACTAGTGTGACTTGGTGTGGCTACATTTAGCTTGAAGAGGCTTTGTGTAGTACTTAAGCACTGTGTAAAAGAGCGTTTGCTGGAAGAAGTGCGAAAGCTTTAAATTCTTCAAGAGTTAATTTCCTCTTTTGGAAGAAAAGATTTTGAAGCCAACTTGAAGGAAGAAGAGAATTGAAAATTGCTAAGTTGGGACCTTTCAATGCATGCTAAAATAGAAAAAAATTAACTATACTTTGAAAAATTGGGGTGCCATCCTATGCATGTTTAGATAGAAAAAAATCTATAACTCCCAGTATCCCTCAGTCAGCTTTAGAATAAAGAAAAAATAGTTTGCATTTTTACTAAGGGAATAAAGTGGGTGGACTATAGAGAGGCAAACTCAGGAGAAGAAAGAACATTTTCTTGCATAAGGTGTTGGCAGAGGGAGCTTTGAATCGGAATATTGTCATATGGAAATTAGGTTAAAGCACACTTAATGTGATTATTTTTTTTAATCTGTGGAAATGATTATTGGAATCCTTTAAAGATTTAAAGACAATGTGATATCCTTCCCCAATACTGTTTACATTTAAGGGGAAAATTAGTATGTCAGCAATCTTTTAGCAGCCTGAAGAACTGTGCATGATATGTTCTCACCCAGTCTTCTGTTTCTACTGAGTTCAACTCTCCTCCACTAAGGTTACTGGAGGGTGTCCAGTTTGCTGTTATTAATTCTTAGTTCCATTTTGCCCTGATAAATGCATGCCTTTCAACAGCTTATATGCATTTTCTCACATACTTGCTAAGGATAATCACTTTAAAAACATTAATTAGAACCTTAAAACTGCTATGCTTACCAAATATTCTATCTATAATCAGCATCCATCCGTTCATTATTATTAATGAACTTAGGAAATGAAAATGCACTAAACTGAGCCCTGGAAAATGTTCTGTTCCACACCACTGTTTGTGCTTTTGCTTGTAATGGGCAGACTTCTGCATAATATCTTATATAGTCAACTCTCCTTACTACAGTAAAGCGCTACTGAACTCTGCATGTGGTCCCTGGCCATGGCCTGAAGGAATCTGTGTTAAGTGTACACATCAGAAAGTTCTTGTGAGACAGAAAATACTTTATATTGGGATGTGTACTGCCTGTTTGGAGGGATGACCTCACTATGTGAGGGAAGGGGCAGGAAAATGTTTAACTATGTCAAAGTACAGACGCTTAAAACTTTCTGGATTCTCTAGGACACTGCAGGTCAGGAACGGTTCAGAACGCTAACACCCAGTTATTACAGAGGAGCTCAGGGTGTTATATTAGGTAAGCATGCAGCTGGTTACTGCTTATCTGAAAATGTTCTAGTCTGTATCGAAACAACGTTTTGAACTAAGTGATGAAACTCTTGGCCTTAACATCAGTCACAAGGTTCACTGCAATTACTCCATTTTAAGGAATGCCTTGACAAATTGGAGTAAGTAGTTAGAAACCAGTGCCTTGGGAATTCCCGGGGGGGGGGGGGGGGTAAAGCTACATGTTGTGCTTAGCCTTGAATCTCCTTTCTTTTCCACCCCACTTAAGGAAAGCAGCTGCAGGTATTTTCATGTTGGGCACAAGTAGGATTGCTTGCCAGCTGTTGACTTGCTCAAAATCCCTTCCCCATCTGCTTTTCTCCCCAAAAGACAAAAGATGCAGCCTCCTGTATCTATCCTCTTGGAGGAAAAGAGATGGAGACAGTGGCTTTGAGCAGGCCATTGGTTGGGAAGGAAAAAGGTAAACAGCCCCCTGCATGCCTGATATTACCTGCTTATAATATGAAGCTGCAAGCAACATGATTATCTAATGAGACCCACCAGGTGGGGTGGGGGGAAGTTGCAGTCACACAAGTCCTTTTATTCCGAGTTAACTGTTTTATAGGTAACAATAGGAATACTATGATAGGTAACCCCTGAGAGTTGCTTGCTTGAAAATCTTATCCAATTCTGTGTAAAAGGTATTTTAATAGGGTTTAGTCACCCCCTCCAGATGTCTGCCTGAACTCCTAAAGTTTATGGACTGAAACCTTGGTGAATCTGGTTATGCAGTTGAGTTAAAATTTCAGCAAAGCAATATTATCTGTGTGCAAACCTGAGCCAGCCCTTAAAACTTCTTTGTTAGAATATAGTTGGGTGCCAGGTAAAGACCTTTTTATTTGCCAGATGTTTTAACAGATAGATGGATTTTAATATTGTTTTTATGTGTACAGTTTTATGCCATGTATTAATTTTTAATCAGCTGGAGTTGTCAATTGTTCTTTACTTGGTTTTAATTGATTTTATTATTTGTAGTGTTTTATTCTTGTTATATACTTTTGTTCTTTAAAATGCCCAGAGAACTCTATAGACTATGGGGTAGTATGCAGTTATATGGTATATATGGGGTGGTATACAATAAATAAGTAAATAAATAAAAGTAATACCTAGGGATGGCTTCATGCTATGAGATTATGCAGATGTCTTGTCAACAGCTATTTAACTTTCTGAAGTTACCTAGCAGTTCTGCAGAATCTCAAATTTGCGGGTTGGACATTTTGACTCTGCCATAGTTAACTAATTGCAGAAGAGTTTTGGGTGGTTTAGTATTAAATAAAAGAAGCACCACAGTGCAAGATGTAAATTGTACTTGGTAGAATGCAGACTGTGGCTCTGACTTCTGGCTGTTTTCATTCGAAATGTTACTGCTGTAGCTCAGGGAAGGCTGCATATGCCCCTGATGGCCTTTTGTGTGCACCCTCGTGGGCTCCCCTGCTAGTGCGTTACCTCAGGAAAATGCCAGTGTTATGTACTTCCCTCCTTCCTGAGCAAGCCATGGCTGCAATGGTTGCTGAAATCTCAGCTGCTGCCTTCTCAGTGCTTCCTTTCATCAAAGCACACTGTAGCATTTTTAGCTGCTTCTCGCTCCATCTGCCTCCTTTCCCCTCAGCCAGCACCTGAAGTTCAGCTGGGAGCGCATCTTAAAGCAGTGGCAGTGAGAATGGAGTAGCACTGCTTGGTATGCTCTCCCCACTCTTCTAGTAAACTTCAGTTAAAAGTTGGATCATTCATTTCATTTATTTGTTAAATTTGTTTAAAGGCTACCCATTAGCATCACGTTAAGGCACTTCCCCAACCAGACACCTTCTGTATGCATTGGACTATAATCCCCAGGATCTGCCAGCCAGCTAGGGAAGGAACCGATTAGGGGAGCTGTGGAGGGTGCCTGGTTGGGGAAGACAATAATGTTCTGAAGATGGTGAAAGATGCTCTGATTACTTTTGCTTCTGGGTAAACGTAGATGGCCTTGGTATGCCAAGTTATTCGGGCCAGTTTACTTCTGTGTAAACATGCAAAGGCTTCCCCTTTTGCTCCTACCTCATCACCTTTTGGATGTGGTTGCCTGTTGTCAAACGTGCCTCTTGACCCAAAGGCAGTTGCCATGCCAGCTGTAACTAAATGGCCACATGGGGACGAGGAGCAGGGCGAGGGTATTGCAGTAGCAATATGGAACTGAAAGGCTTACTGTGTTTGCAGACTTAAAATGCATATATCACTGATCATCGCTAATCTTGATTTCAGTTTATGATGTCACAAGAAGAGACACTTTTGCTAAACTAGACAACTGGCTAACTGAATTGGAAACATACTGCACAAGGAATGATATAGTTAAAATGTTAGTTGGAAACAAAATTGATAAGGTATGTCTCTCCGTGTATCAGTTTCCTATGGCTTACGCTCCTGTTTTATGTTAGCTACTAACAGTTCTGATCCTTCCCATAGGAAAACAGAGAAGTTGACAGAAATGAGGGTCTCAAGTTTGCCCGAAAGCATTCCATGTTGTTCATAGGTAAGTTCCTGGCAAGAGACGTAAATATTTGGTGGACTGATCTGCCCTGTAGCTCACCTTCTTAACATAACTGGTTATAGCTGGGTGCAATGGGTGTGGTTGTGGTATTACATGGTAACATTTTATAGTAGCAGTCTTCAACGCAAACTAAAAAGAATTACAAGATTAAATTAGTAAATATATTTTGCCACAGGATGCTTAAGAAGATGCAGTCTCTACTTATATTCTATACAAACAAAGTATAAATAACTTGACAGTGTTGGTAATTTTTATTTAGATTCTGTGAATGCAGCCCATTGGGCCAGCCTTTTACAACCTGCTGTTACCAGGTGTTTTGATCTCCAATTATTCCCACCCTAGGGAATCTGCTAGGAGATCTTTTTGAGTTTCAGCTCATTCACCTATTTAAGGGCTTGCTTTAATAGTTCCAAGGTGCCACCAAATTAAAACTCTCGCATATCTTCACATGATTGTGGTGGGGGAAATAAGCCACACAAGCTTTTTTCTTCTGCTGTGTACACCAGACAGATTTCACCCCTGCAGCCACAGGTTAAGAGTTATGCTAGCCTGGGTGGCTTGATGGAGTGGGCAGCATCTCTCGAGTAAGATGTGGACTGTTGGGCTGCTGCCCACTCCCAACAAGGCATGCTGCCCATGAACATGCAGATATGGCACCTGTGGGCACCTAAATTAAGCCATGGAGGGCCGTCATGTCAAGCAGACCAGCCCACTGTGCGGAATACAAAAGAAAAGTCTTGGGGTTGCTTTCTAGAGATTCTGTTTTATGGAGCATAGTGAAAGGTTTTTTTTGTTGTTCTTTTTTAAATCAGGTTGTTTCTTGGAACAAGGCAAGTCTTGCTGTAATTCAAATACTTCTGAGAAAATGTTTGCTTTCTACTTTCGTACAGGTTGTTTTCAAAATGTGTTTCAGTCCCACTCCAGAGTTGTCTTGCAGCCATCTGCTAATTCTGTGTCACAAGAGGAGCAGTGGCAGTCCTGGTGGTGCTATCCTGGGAGGCAGCCCAACACACACAAAAAAGGAAGTTGGTGCAATGCACCCAACACTTGAGTAACATTTCAACTATTTCTCTTCCCCCCCAGAGGCGAGTGCAAAAACATGTGATGGCGTCCAGTGTGCCTTTGAAGAACTTGTTGAGAAAATAATTCAGACGCCTGGACTGTGGGAAAGCGAGAACCAAAACAGAGGCGTAAAGTTATCAAACGACGAAGAGGGCTATAAAGGAGGCTGTGGTGGCTACTGTTCCATGTTATAAACTCTGGAAGACTTGTCCTTTTGCATATTTAAATGGATAGTGATGTCCTGTGTACATAAACTCATATCGGCTATTTTAGGGACCTTGCAGTTTGCACATATTTGTGTATCATAGCAGTGAACATCTTTCTAGGACAATGTGTTCTGCAGCTTTTTCAGTTGGGAAATGTTAATGGTAAGCATGCCTAATTTGCAACTTTCTGGTTCTTTTTATGGATAGCATAAGAAATGTACTCAAATTTCATACTCCTTATCATGGAACTATCTTGGATACTGTTTCAAATATGTGTTGGCTGCATTCTGTCTGATTATTAACTCAAAATATTGCACTACACAAAACATACAAAACTCAAATGATCCAAATGGTTACGTGTGACATCTGAACATTTTTTTGGCAAATGCTTTTCTTACCAATTAACAATGACCATAAAATTCCGTTTAAGCTATAAGCAACACTTTTCTAGCTTGTAGCACATCCCAGTTGAACTCTGGCCTCTTGGAGGAGGTGCTTCTAAAATTACTCTGTGTGATTTTTTTTAATGGTCACCTTGGTGAATCATCTGTCTAATAAGAGTTTTTAACCCTAAGTGGTTTAGGGTCCAATCCTGTGCATGTCCAGATAGGCAAAAGTTCTACAACTTGCAGCATTCATTCCCTGGTAATTGTAGGAATTTCACCTGTCTAAACATGCATAGTATTGCACCCTTAGAATAGCTCTCTCGCACCATGGCTTTTATGGTGCAGTGTGCTGTGGACCTCCAGAAGAATTTTCCCTTTTGGTTATGGGCTGGGGGGAAGGGGCTCTCATTGTGAATCACTTTGCCAAACTTTGACGAATGCTTCTAAATGTTAGTATTGTAAATTGGCTTCAGTCTTTCAAATTGTTCTGTCCTTGTGGCTCTGAAGCCTAATTGGATGACTCCACTGTTTATGGCTGTTGGGTCTGAACACTGAAACTGTCTTTGAGGTGTCTGTGTAAGGAATTCACTCTCTTGCTGGGGTTTGCTGTAACAAAATGGCCAATGGCTTGCTTGTTTCAGAGAACTTGTATAGACTAATAAATTTTTTCCACAGTATTGAATTTTTTCTAACATCTTCCTCATGTACAGGTGAATTTTGTAAGAAACAATTCAACAGCTCTTGATCCTGTAATAGACAACACTAATGACTTCAAATACTACAGGGTACTAATATGTTTAGCAGTATGAACTACTCTGGAGTTTCCTGTAAATATATGAACTGAAATAACTTTATAATGATGCTTTTTTGTACACTTCAGTGCTGTGTACGCTCATTGGTCTTTCACCAGTATGGTGGCTGTTGTCACCAAATGCACTTCACCTAAAATCTTTCAACTTTTACATTTATTGAGAAATTATTCATATTTTGAAAGTCATTACTTACAATAAAGTTGTAAGTAAAATACCTGTTACTCCTTTCGCATACCTCCCACCACACCCAACATTTAGCTGTATATTGCCATTTTAAATGACTGCACATTTGCTAAACAGATTTTCAGTCTGTTGAAAGATGGGCATGTATCTCTTGAATGCTTTATCCTTGGAGGCAGAACAGGATCAAATCTTACTGCAATTAAATATGTCTAACACTCAAATAAAGATTGTGGAGCAGAAGCATCTGCCATTTTCTTTTTATCATAGGATCTTGTGCCTTGTGTGGTGTCTGTTTCTCTGAGATTTTTCTGTGGCCCAGTTGCTTTGTTTGGGTTAAACATGGATTTAAAATAGCCACACATTTTGGATTGAGGTAACTGACATACACAGAGGAGGGAACATGCAAAATGCAGCTTCCTGGCACAAAAGAGTTTTCCAGTTCATTGGAGCCCACCCACAGCCTGTATAAATGTATGTTTAAAAACACTTCAAAAACCACAGTTGGATTCTCTGCTAGTACCCTCTGCCTTTTTTGTGTTCTTTCTTGGTATCACAATACATGGAATCCAACCTATTCATTATGTTGCAAGTTGGAAGGATACTGTGTGTGGGTAGTATACTAAATAGCTAGAGATACCTTGTCAAATGCATTACTAGAATATTAGCAATATTTGGTAAGAGTTTAAGCAGAACACTCAACTTTGGACATGGAAGGGGACGTCTGTAATATTAATAGAATACAATTAGGACTCATGGCAGCAATTTGTGAGGAGGAAGAGAAGACTCCAGGACTGTTGGAACATGAGATGGCTTGACCTCCTGACCTGGCTTGTTGGTTCTAGCTGCACAGACCCCCTGTCTAGGATTTCAGTAGCAAGAGGTATGAGTAATGTACTATAATGCATTAACTGCTGTCATTCATGGTTGCTTTTATATTGGTGAAGAAGAAAATCTTGCATGAGTTCTAAGAATCTGGGCTTCCTTCTTGCTGCTTTCAGTGCAGCCAGCTAGGTCATCATCTGTCACTTTACAGTGTGGCAGCTGCTGAAAATCACTCCCAACTTGTGCTTGTGGGAATGACTTTATAGACTTCTTGCACAAGTTATCTGAACCATGGGGCAAATACCACTCTACAGCAAGGTCTCCCTAGGAAGTGGCTTTGCTAGGAATGATGCCTACCACACAGCTCTGCCAACCAATGTAGGAGGCCAGTAGTAGTGCTGCTGGAGCTATGCAGAGCGTCAGCTACATGGAGCAGTTCTCGTGGGCACCTGTGCCCATGAATGGATGGACTGGCGTTAAGACTCCCACGGTCTATGGACTTGCGTTGGTGCTTTGATCACAGGCAGAACCCTCTTTGGGGCTTGTCTAGGAGTGAAGAATAAATGCTTTTTTGCATCATCTGATAAGTTTCTTCCTCCTAAACACTGATGACCTCACTTCCACAAGATGTAGCAATGGTTACCAATTTCAATGTCTTTAAAATGGGACTAGACAAATTAATGGAGGAGAAGGCTATCTAGTCCTGATGGCTCTGTACTTCCAGTAGCGTAGGAAGCATGCCTGTGCATACCCGTTGTGGAGCACGGGCAGGAGGTTGCTCTTCCATTCATGTTCTGTTTGGGTTTTCCATGGGCAGCTATTTGTTCACAGTGTGAACAGGTTGCTGGACTAGGTGGTCCCTTGATCCATCGGATTCATCGCAGGGAGGTCTGTCTTTTTAATGAAAATGTCTGCCTGTTCTGGCAAATCTTGCAGTGTGTAAATACTGTTCTTAATGTAAGGTAGAGAGAAGAAAGCAGGTTTAGTTGATCATATTGCTTAGCACAGTGGACATGTAGCCTGTCACCAGACTTCTCTGTATCCAATAAAGTATTACCCTAAACTACAGCCTTGCAACTTTTCCCCCATCTTTTGCCACCATGAGCTGAATCTTGGCTTCCACACTGAAGCAAGAGGGATTTGGTGCTTAAAGATTCCTTGTCTGTTCAGCTTGTCTCTCACTAAGCTCACTAACTGGCAACTGGAAGTGCATTGGTGATACATTCTCAGAATTATGGAGCTCACATCCAAGGAAACTGGATTACTTTATATTAAACTTGTATGCTACCACTAATGAGTGCTCAGTTCAGTTTACTCGTAAGACTAAACACTCTAACCAGGGCATAGGCACTGAAGTGATGCTGCTGGACCTTGTGTAGCGCAGCCTTTCTCACCATAGTGCTCTGCACATGATTCAGGCTTACGGAGGGCACCAGCCAACATGCACAATTGTCAGAAATGCTGGTAATTGTCCAAATTATCTGGGGAATACCAGGTTGGAGAAAGCTTTTGTAGGGCAGCTCAAAAGCATATGTTTTACATATTTCTCATTGTGGCTGCTTGGATTGAAGCACTTAAAGAAATAGGTGGGTGACTTGCTACTATAAAGGTTGGTTTAACTAGGTCTGTTGCTTTTTCACACGTAGTGGTGGGCCTGTACACCTCTATGCTTATGCAATATAGCTATTCCCAGGCTTGTCTTGGCTTTTAACCCTGTTTTTCTTATAATCATTCAAATCAAACGTTTCCACTATAATGGAGCACTCTGAAACCAGCACCATCTCCTGCAGCTGCTTGATATATCTTCTTTTCCTCAAGTGGTTCTGAAATGTAAATAAAGGTTTGGCCCATTCTAGAAAATGAATACATACAACTGGTTTGTTCTTCTCTATGCAAAAGTGTGGTGTGGTTTATAAAAATGGTTGGCATGTACCTTAAGGTTTTTTTTCTTTAGGCTTCAGTGCTTGGCCAAATCCTGAAATGTTGATAATAAACTCACTTCTAGGGCAGTATCCTACTCAATGCTACAACCTAATTTATTTTGTGCAATGCCAGCCCTATTTCCTGGCATGACAGGTTTCCCCATAGCACTGGAGGTTGCTTATGCTGTGTAATTAGCATTAGTGGTAGTGTGGAATAGGATACTGCCCCTAGATTTTTCAGAAAAATGCTGACATGTTGCCTGCATGGATTGAAATGCAAAACTTCCATGGTTTTGAAGCTTACATGGACAACGCACATATTATCTAACCCGCAAGTCTGATACACAACACCAGAATCAACCAAGCTCTTTTCCCTGATACAGTTGCAGAATCTTGAATGGTGGATAGTTGCCATAATAGTTTATAGTAAAGACAATGGGTTTGAATGGAGGGACAAGAAGCATGCTGCAGGCTTAGCTTGCTAGCCAAAGGAGGAGGTAGTGCTTAGCATAATATGCAAACAAAACTTCAAAGAGAAAGTTGGTCATCATGCAAAATTATTTTACAGTGCATTCTATTGCAGGTTGGAACTGGCTATTTTATTTACGAAGATAGTGTAATGTGAGATTGTTAACTAAAGCTTGCTGGAAAGAAGGCTGATTATAGCATGAAGAGAATTCCTCCTTCCAAACCCTTTCTGCACATGCTTGTCCATATCTTAAAATCCCCCTACAAGAACACTTACATTCTTTGTTTTTAACCTGAACCCCCATTAAACAGAAATTTGAGAGGTACAAGAGTCTATTCCCCTTTTCCCAGTGATTATATTTGGTGAAATATGACCTGTTTCATAAAAAGGAAGTGGCTTCTCACTTTATGATGAACAGAAGCAAAAGAGTGGAGCAGGCCGTAATAACATGCACGTGAACAAACAGCTTGGGAATAGAGGTATGTATTCTACCAGAGAAGCAAAGAGGATCTGAAATAAATACTCCCAGCATTTCTCTCAGTAAGAACAGAACTTAAAACACATTAAGAACTTGTCAAACAGAGGTAATTCAATCTTTCACACCAGAAGACAGTTATCATTTACCATTTTTCATTTTTGCAAGTGTGGGGGCAATTCCTTAGCTAAGTAAGGTATGAACCAGAGCAAAGACTAGATACAGAGATATAGCTCAGATATTAGCAAATGTGCTCTGAAACCCACAAGCAGTGATGGAGATTGCAGTGATAAAGAAGAAATGAAGAGCTTGCCTGAATGTGCAGAGGGGACAAAGTGTAAGCCACAAAAATAGAATTCTACAGTTATGGGGCCACCACTGGGAAGGCATTTCCTAATACTCCCAAATGCAATGGAAGGGCATATTCTCTGTTTTGCACTCACCTTACATATGGGGGTTGAGGAGTGATCAGACTCCTGCCTATTTTATTATAACAAGCCGAATTCTACATCGAAGAAATGGAGTGAGGTTTATGGATTTGCTTGTTTGCTCACTCATTCGTACCTTTTAAAATTTAAAATCATTTGTGTAGTAGAGTGAAATAAAAAATCATTTTGTATTATTACACTTATTCCTATTATTGGAAATTAGTTCAGCAGAAACACCTGGAAGTCCCAAGCCAATGGAAAACCAGCCTGTGATTTCATACTCCTGTGAGCCATGCAGAGTTGTTCCCTGAGGGCCATTGCAGCTATGCCTGTGAGCACAGTGTGCAAACCAAGTGGATTTTAAAAAGCTGGGGCCATCCCTGGGAGCAGCTCCTCCAAACCTGTGCTGCTTATACATGTAAAGAGTTCACTGCAATTGTTAATGGCACTCCCTCAAATATAGTTGACAGATTTGTCAAAAGCATTCTTTTGGGTTACCAAATGAGTAAAAGCTTTGCCATATTATGGCTGCTAAAAGCCTGACACAGTAAGAGCAGCTTCAGACTTACCGTATTTTTCGTTCTATAAGACGCACCTAGTTTTTAGAGGAGGAAAACAAGAAAAAAATATTCTGAATCAAATGGTTTACTAAACTATTTAATAAACTATAACAGAATACAGTAATACCGTATTTCAACCTTGTAAAGTGAACAGCAGTCAACAGTGGCATTAAGAACCATCATCACTGTCATTAACAAAAGAGAGACTTTAAAGTTCGAGTACTCTTCTAGTTTTCGTTGAACCCATAGAACTCATCATCGCTAGAGTCAGAATTTATGAAGCTCTGTTGCTCACAATCGCTGACATCATTTTCTTAGTCGGTAGTGGAATTATTGAAGGAATCCACAATCTACACCAGTTATACAAGAGCTGCTGCAGACAATTCAATAACAAATCTAAAAAAGCCAGTAATGTCCACGCTGCCCTACTAGTAAATAGTAGAAAAAAACTTATGACAAAAGTTTTGAGATATTGTACGGTAAATCAAACACACAGTGGACTAAGTAGCCTTTGAAGAATAAACTTCATACACGAAGGTAATGCTGTTCAAATATCCACTGATC